GCTTAGAATAATCTAACTTATACCAAGTTTGTAAGAGTAATCCTTGCAATCAGTGGTGTAAAATGATAAGAGATAAGCAGCATATTAGATATTGTTTGCGGTATGAGTTTGATAAAGGCAGAATTGCAGTCGAAGCTTGCTTTGTCAAGTATTTAGATGTTAAAATATCCATCAGCAGTTCTGAAGGAGCTCTGTACTAGACTGTAACAAATCGAAGTATCCACAAACTTATATCCAAGTATCCCAAGTGTCACATATCCATGTTTCCATAAACTATTACAAGCAATATCAGCACATAGAGCAGCATTGAAAAGATAAATGCAAGTGTTTAGGTACAGTTTGAAGTTTATTCAGAAAGTTCTACGCCAGTTTTCGTGAAGCATTGAGAGGAGGGAGTTGGTACCCATGTTTCTTTGCTTGTCCCAGAAATGATTTTTTTTGGGGGGAATGGAAAATTAGAAGTGTGCACAATATCAGATGTGAAGTGTTAAAGCACTGTGTGTCAAACTGCAGACTCTCTTCTATCAACCTCAGATGGAAGTGACCAGTCCTCTATCAGTCAGTCCACCATTGGGATGTGGAGGATATGAAGCAGGTTCTAATATGCTTCATGTTTTTATGTTTATTTTTATATTTGTAAATATATGTGAGTAAAATTAAATTTCCTTAAAAGAAAAGGAAAATATTTCAAGTAATTGCTATAATTTATGTTGTAATTTAAAAACTAACTAAGAATAAAAGTAGTTGAACTAAGATATTATCTAATAGCATTTAAGAAAAAAGTTATGATCTTTTCTAATTTAGAGGAGAGGGAGTAAGTAAGTTAATATCAATGTAAACTATGTAAAAGAAAGCAAAGTCATTACAAATGCATGAGGGGAAGGGGGGAAAGCATTTTGAATTTTCATGACTGTTGTAGTTTAGTTTTAAATCCTAAATTTACGTTTTAATTTCAAATTGAAAATGTTTTGATGTGTGATAAAAATAAAGTATAAACTGATATTTGATATTTATTATCAGTTTAATATGTAATATATATTCTTTAAGCATTTTAATTTTTTTAAATTTTTATTATAGCTGTTGATTTGAAGTCTGGTAATGGCAAAATAGTTGAAGGCAGTATAGATGGTGTAAAACCAGGTTGCACTCTCATAATTGAAGATGAAGATATGTTTGCTTTGGTGACTGGAAAACTAGATCCTCAGAAGGTTTGTTCTTATTATGAATTAACTGATGTTTAAACTTATGAGGGGATACTAATTCAGAAGTCAAACAACAAAAATCAGCGTTATATTTAAAAAATTTCCAAAGGACTAGTTTCGATGGTTTTACCGAACCTATCCAGCTGAAAAAACCGCAAATGAACAGATAGGAAATAATGTTTACATAAGATAAGAAGCCTGGAAGAATAAGCAAGTGGCGCCATTGTTGGCGAAACCAGAACTAAAACATAATTTCTTAAAACGAAGGCAAAATGGATTGGAATTAGGAACGTTAACTAGACAGAAAGATTTTTATGGAAATGCCTCTAGAAATCCAGTTCTCAATGGAAGATGTTTTTTGAATAATTTTGGCAGCCAGAAAAATTGAAAGTGTGATTTTCGGACCAACAATGTGAGCAACAGAAGACTTCTGTTTCCTTTTTTCTAAACATATGCCTCATGTTCTTTGACGCGAAATTTTAAGGATCTCTTAGTTTGGCCAATGTAAATTAAACCACACTGGCAAGGGAATCCTATAAATACCCCAGGAATTCATATCCGGAATGGGGTCTTGAGTATGAACTTGGAATTTTATTGATGGGAGAATAAACAACCCGAAAAGTTAAATTTCTGCAAAATGTGCAACTTTTATAGCTAATTGATGGAAAGAAGGGAATGACAACAGAATTTTTATAATCTCCTAAAATAAGAGTGTGGCCTTTTAGTGTGTTGAGATGAGAATTTTTTAACTGCTGATTAATAATGTTGGGTGAAAAAGCCCTGTCAATAGCTATTGCTTTTAAATAATTTAGTTCTTCATCAAGGGGCTAGTTTGGAGGAGCAAACTTGAAGAGCACGGAAAACATAGGAATAAAATGAAGCTAACTTTTGTTTAGTCGGATGACATGATTTAAAGTGTGGTGGAAGGCAAAAACCGATGAAGGTTTACGGTAAACTGTAGTACTGAAGTTGGATATGTTTCGTGTGACCAGAATGTCGAGAAACGAAGAGAATTGCAAGTCTCAAGTTCAAAGTGAACTGAATAGCAGGATCAATAGAATTCATTGTTGAAGAAAACTTATTCAAATCATCTTTATTACTTCAAACAGGGTAAAGTATCGTCTACGTAGCGGAAACCATGCGGGAATTTTAAGTTTCAAACAATTTGATTCATAATAATGCATGTAGATATCAGCAGGGGGACTGAGGGGGCTTCCCATGGCTAATCCCTCAGTTTGCTGTAATATTTATTTTTGGAAAAAAAAAGTGTTTGTTTTCAAACAGAGTTGAGTGAGAGAAATTAGCTCATCAATTTCGATGCAAGAGAAATGAAATTCGCGAAGTGTTTCTAACATCTTAATGCACCTCCACTGGACATTGGTGAATAATGATTTTACATCAAAAGAAACCATGAGTAATTTCGAGGAGAAATGTTTTTAACCTTTTTTACAAACTCTATGAATTTTTTATGGGTAAATGTTATTGTTAATAGAGTGGAAAATCTAGAAACTAAAATTTAGCTAATGGATACGAGGCAGTACCTAAATTGATACCAAAGGGCGGAAAGAATACCCTTTTATAATTTTGGGAAGAGCATATAACTGGCACATTCGCACAGTGGATAGTGAATGTTTAAGTTGCTTGAATGATTTGCGAAGATTTGATCGCAGTTTTTATTTTGGATAAGTCCGAAGGGAAGGACTTTAGGGAGAGGATTAATGTCTTAGTTAGAGTTTAGTGACCCAGCGATGTAAGTGTTCTATCCTGAAGACTATTGGCCACTTGTCGGCCTTTGAAATGACATATCCGGGTTAGAAGATCCGCGCATTGTAGCTGTTTCTCTCGCAGTTGATTTGTTCAAAGGTTATTATTGAATTTACATTATGAGCGATAGATGCTATCATTTCTTCTGGGAATAGAACTTACGAAATTGGAAGCTTTTCGATAGGAGCCAAAATCTTGGACTCGAGGGTTCAGGTTGTGAGAAGTTTAAATTATATTTAGAATTCCTCTTGTTCTTTGAAAGCCTAACATAGAAATTAACTATTGCTTGATGGTACAATGGGAAGATTTTGAACTACTTGAAATGGAAGACTGAAAAGAAGTTTTTCGAAGTGAACTGCAAGGGTTTTTATGAGGTAACTAATTCTCCGTACATGATGGTGTCACTAAATCTTAAACGAAGGACCACTAATCTATCCCTAAAGACCTTTCACCTTGGACTTTCAAAATAAAAACTGGATCAATCTTCGCAAACATTCAAGACTTAAAACATTCACTTATCCATAGTTGCATTGTGCAGATTATAGTCTTCCAAAATTCATAAAGTGTTTCCTTCCGCCTTTGTTATCAATTAGGTAATCCTATCCATTAGCTAATATTAGTTTCTAGATTTTCCACTCTATAGACAATAAATTTACCCATAAAAATTCAAGAGTTTGTTAAAAAGTAAAAAAACATTTCTCCTCGTAATTACTCATGTTTCTTTTGATGTAAAATCATTATCACCATGTCCAGTGGAGGGGCATTAAGATTCTGAAACCAGACTTCGGAATTTCATTCTCTTGCATCGAAATTGATGAGCTAATTTCTCTCACTCAACCTGTTTGAAACAAACACATTTGTTTTCCAAAATAAATATTACAAGCAAACTGAGGATTAGCCATGGGAAGCTCCCTCGTCCCATCCTGGCTGATACTACTTGCATTATTGAATCAAAATTGTTTGAAACTTTAAAATTCCCGGCATGGTCCGCTACGTAGACGATACTTTTACCGTTTGAAGTAATAAAGCTTTGAATAAAGTTCTTCAACAATGAATTCTATTGATCCTGCTATTCAGTTCACTTTGAACTTGAGACTTGCAATTCTCTTCCGTTCTCGACATTCTGGTCACGTAACATCCAACTTCAGTACTACAGTTTACTAACCTTCATCGGTTGCCTTCCACCACACTTTTAAATCATGTCATCCGACTAAACAAAAGTTAGCTTTTTTATTCCTATGTTTCCGTGCTCTTCAAGTTTGCTCCTCCAAACTAGCCCTGATGAAGAACTAAATTATTTAAAAGCAATAGCTATTGACAGGGGCTTTTCACCACAACATTATTAATCAAGCAGTTAAAAATTCTCATCTCAACACACTAAAAGCCACACTCTTATTTTAGGAGATTATAAAAATTCTGTTGTCATTCCCTTCTTCCATCAATTAGCTATAAGTTGCACATATTTTGGCAGAAATTTAACTTTCGGGTTTTTTACTCTCCCATCAATAAAATTCCAACTTCTATACTCAAGGACCCCATTCCGGATATGAATTCCTGGGGTATTTATAGGATTCCTTGCCAGTGTGGTTTAATTTACATTGGCCAAACTAGAGAGCCTTAAAATTTCGGTCAAAGAACATGAGGCATATGTTAGAAAAAAGGAAATACAGAAGTCTTCTGTTGCTCAGCATTGTTGGTCCGAAAATCACACTTTCAATTTTCTGCTGGCCAAAATTATTCAAAAACATCTTATTTGGAGAACTGGATTTTCTAGAGGCATTTCACATTCATAAAAATCTTTCTGTTCTAGTTAACGATCCTAATTCCAATCCAATTTGCCTTCGGCTTTTAGAGAAATTATGTTTTAGTTCTGGTTTCGCCAACAGATGGCGCCACTTGCTTATTCTTGTCCAGGCTTTCTTATCTATCTAAACATTATTTCCTATCTTGTTCATTTGCGTTTGCAGCTGAAGATGATGGTTCGGTAAAACCATCGAAACTAGTCCTGTGAAACTTTTTTAAATATAATGCTGATTTTTGTTGTTTGACTTCTGAATTAGTATTTATTCGGCGTGTTATTGTGTCTTAATTATGAGGGGATATAAAAAGTTTATGATTCAGAATCTAAATCATTAGAAGCAAATTCTCAGAAGTTTTTGTTCTTGTTATGATTTTAAATTTAATTAAAATCATAATCATGTCATTTAAAATCATAAAGAAAATACAAAGTAATCATTAAAATCTGAAAAAATTTGAATTAAAAAAAATGAAATGTACCAAGACAATACATATTTGTGCTGACATATTATTTTCAAAAGTCTATGTAAAATCATTGACACTTCTATTTTATACTGGCCAAGTCCAGCAAGAAATGGAAACTGGCATGTTTCAGCCTTGGTAAGAAACAGATGGTTTTTGATATACTCAAGCAAATCATTCAATGTTTATAATACATAATTTGATATACACATACAGAAACAGCATAACCAATAAGTCATTCATTGTCTGCAGTGCACAGTTTATTTGATACAGAAGCAATTTAATACAAATTTGTACTTATTTTTTTATACAATTTTGTAAGCAATACATTTTAAATAAGCAGCACACAAAAACAAGCTTAAAAATCATTTTAAGTAGATACTTATACATGTTCACAGTTTAGCAATTTCTGCTAATAATGCATCAAAGATGTTATCATGATTTGATACCAGAACATAAACTTTATTGGATAAGATTCCAACTGGGTGGGAGGAATAATGCAATGAAACAAAATGTAAAACAATGCTGTGATCACATGTATGGTGATTCATGTTATTTTCTGTTATGCAATGAAAGAATGGTTAAAACAATTTTCCATGGACTGAAAATCTGTAGAAGATAATTCTTGTGAACTCAACCATTGGCAGCATTGACATATTAAAAAAAATACTGCTTGTGTCAAGGCATTGTTAAGTTATGGTATTAAAAGTGAAGATGATAGCAGCAAGATTGGATCTTTCTAAAACAATTGTTTTGTGCATTCTCTATGAAATCTTGTATATGAACAAAGTTTCTGCAAGTTTTTTGGGCAATTAAAAAATACTACTGGGAGAAATCTTTGCAACTTTATAGTGCACATCAGAGCAATCTTTTACAGCTGATCATAGCTGTTGATGAACCAGTGATTGTACACAATAATCATTTGTTAAAAACAGAGTCAGTGGAATGCGGAAAATCAAGTGAAGCACACCCAAAAAAGCTGAGGTGCAATAATCAACGGAAAGGACAACCACCATTCTTAGGATTATCAAGAGATCCTCCTGACAGACTTTAAAGAAATGCAACTATAAATGGGGAATATTATGCAACATTATTGCATAGATTCCACAATGACTTTAAAGAGAAAAGACATGGAGTGCTGAGCCACAGAGCTTGTCAGTGTGATAATGCTTCTGTGTATTCAGGTGTTATTGCTAAAGATGTGAAATTAAGGAGCTTGATCCATTCCCCTTCTAGCTCTAATTTAGTTGCAGATGATTGTTATCTGCTCTCCAAATTAAATCTCAACTTCATGGAAAGAGATTTTATGATGATAGTGGCATTAGAGCTGTTACGAATTTTAAAAGCAAACCTTGAGATTACTTTTGCAGAGGCATGGAATTGCTCATTAAATGATATGAGAAGTCTCTTTAAGTACAAGGATTATGTTGAAAAATAAACTCGTAAATTTCCTAGTTCTCTCTGAAATACATCAGGCCACCAACTTTTAGATCCACTTTCATATCAACAAATTTAGCCATATATATATGATCAGATTTTTAGATGTGATAGAGACAATGTTTCTGAATTAATAAATTCCAAGTAAAATGTGCATATCTTACTTATGAGAATATAATAATTATGTGAAAGGGGGGGGGGGGGGTGGGGGGGGGGGGGGGGGGGGGGGAGGTGGGGCGGGGGGGGGGGGGGGGGGGGGGGGGGGGGGGATTGGGAGGGGCAGGATAGGTGAAGTTTTCGTGAAAATATATAATGTAGGAACTATCAATATTTGATGAAAGTTTAGTGCTCATGAAATGGGGTAGTTATTACTCTTACATGTAGTCAATACTTTTGTATAATTATCTAAACAGAATTTATATTTATTTTGTTCTAAATTATCATTATAATCATCATAGTCATCATTATCTAAGGTATCATTATTATTATAATTAGGATGTGTGTTTATTTTATGCATATAAAATGATTTGAAGTATTTGCTAAAATTATTGTGGAACTATAATTATTTGATGAAATTTATGCTATGGGGACATGTGGCTTAGATCAACTAATTCTCATAAATGAAATATAATATATATTTTAATATTTTTAAATATACTTAATCAAAAAAAATTTGTTCTGAGACAAAAAAATTGCGTGTGCATTATATCATTATTCCTTTATTCTTATTATATTTAGCATAAAAACCAGTTATCATAAATCAAAGAGTAAATATACTTGTCATACATTCTTCTTACTTATTCAAAGAAATTATTCTAAAACTTTAAAATTTAAAATTATTATGCATTTTGACTTTTTTTACATTCACAAGCATTTATCTGTTTACAGGCTTTCATGTCTGGCAAGTTGAAGATAAAAGGCAATATAATGCTTACACAGAAATTGAAACCTCTTTTATCAGCTAGACGAAAAACTCCATTATCTGAAGGCCCACAAGTAAGTCAAGTTTTTATATTTTTAAATGTTTAATATTTTCTTAGGCCTTTTTTTTTTTTTTTTTTTTTGGGTGGGGTAAATTTGTTATGAGCAAAATTTTCTTTTATCTTATACTTCCGTCTTGTGAAGTGAAATAAGAAATCTGTAATAATTTCATGAAAAATAAGAAATCTATAATAGTTAAAAGAATTTGTGAAATTTTAAAAGCAATTTGAATTATATGATTGAGCTTTAAAAATGCAGATAAAAAAAGATAATTGTTCTAAATTAAAGCATGAAATATATTTTAAGTATTTTATTAAAACAAGAATAAAATGCAATAACAGAGTGTATGGAAATGTACTTTAGAAATTCTTTATCTATAGAAATTCTTAACCTAAGACAGATTAATATACTGGACAGCTGAAACTGATATTTATCCGAATTAAGCAGCCTGCATATATATCCAACAGAAAGTGTAGCAGACATTTCTTCATTATCCACAAATGAGAGGAACTCTCCATTACTCGGAACTGCAGATTCAGTATCTCTCATATGTGTATTAGGCAGAGACTTGCAGCTAAGGTTTTATAATCTAGTTATATCAGAAATATTATATTTCATTACAGATAATTTTAAAAAAATAAAAACTTTCGCTCTATGATTGGCTATTAAAAAACAAGAAATGCTCTGCATAATGATTTCTATAGCATAATTCTAATAATAAGTTATAATTCAGTTAATAAGGTTGTGTCAAAGCATGAATTTAAGCTGCAACAGGCATTGTTGGTGGTATTGCTGTTTGTTTTGGACTTTGCCGACCATGTGACATAATCTATAATCAGTACTGTGAAGCATTTGCTTCTGGTCTATACACATTGGTGTTAGTTGAGATGTCCAATAGATGGCACCTGTGAAGATTGTTGTCGTTAGCTACTGTGCTTTGTGGTCAGTTTTAGAGAATAGGGCCTCGAGTTCTATGGCTTTACACTTAAAGTCAATATGCCCAGTAACTTCCAAAGATCACCAGAGTGGTTGCTGTATTGTTACTTGTTTTGAACCTTGTCAGTCTCATGGTGCTATCTTTAATTGTTTTTGTGAGCTAGTATAAAGTATAAAAATTTATATAAAAGAAAATATATATATGCATATTCAACACAATTCAACTAAGCTGCAAAGGATGTTAGGGTCAAATGGTGGAAGGGAAATCTCAAAAGATTTAACTCTGAGGCTCCAAAAGTTGCCCTTGGTATCGTAACAAATGATAAAATGGGGATTTATTTCTATAAATCTGAAATAAATGACAATGTACTGTTAATTCAAAATCTACAGAAGAAGTTTGTACACAGAACGTTTCAAAGAAAATGACTGCAATATTTTTTGATGAATCTGGTCATGGTTGCTTTGAAAATCATAAAGCAATAAATAGTGACTGCTGTGCGATGGTGATTGTATGTGTGTTAGATACATTTACCGAACTTAGAGGAATAAAGCGTGAAAGGGTAAAGCTCATACACTGCATTTTAAACCATCAGTTATTTTAAGCATAAAAAATCTGAATTAGTGAATCATTAGCTTTATTTATATGATTACCAGAGGTATTAAACCAACAAGAATCAAAATTGCAAATGACAAAAGAAAAGCCTGTGCAAGCATAGGCTTTTGTTTATCTTCAGTTGAAGAAAGTTCTGTATTTAAACCTTTGAAACTAATCCTGCAAATTTATGAATATTATGCTGATTCCTGTTGCCTTAGCACCTACAATAATCATTTGGTGCATTATTTTAACTTGGATTTATTTACATGATTTAGCACTCTATTTTTTTTTTCTTGTTCCCAACTATTAAACATAAACTACATGAAAATTAGATTTAAGGTTACATGTTTTCTGGTATACAAATTTTTAGATTGCATAATTGCTTTGAAAATTAGTTTGTTTAAATGAGAGTGCATTAATGCTGAAGGGAGTATTTTAAAAACAATAAAGATTTATTAAATGAGATTGCTTTGTGTATATTATTTTCTAAAAACTTTAGAGGCTTCACATTTGAAATAAATGTTCTACATTTGTAAAGGGAAATAGTGAATGGTATATTAAACATGAAATTTAGTTTTTCATTTTAAATAAAATCACATGTCCAAGCTCAGCTATTAGTCAAGATTGTTTGTTCTGAATGTGCAGCAGTGTTTATATTTACAGTGTGGATGATTACACACTAGATGATCATAAGATCTTAAGACTGGTGAGATATGATTTGTTATATTATTGGACTTGGCTGTGGAGAAAGGGACTACTAATAACAGAAAATGTCTTCTGGAGGGAATAGGAGTAGCACTGTATAACAATGATAAAAGTATTCACTAATAGCCCACAGAAAAAAAAGGGGGGGAATAAATTGAGTCTTCATGGTATTGTTGTGGATTGTTCTTCAGTCAGTAGAACTGGCTTCCCAAAGGCATTATCTCACTTATACTGTCATCATACAGTGCAATCAAATGTATAGCCCTATCTCTAACATACCCTGTATATATTTACGCATGTTCATTTTTTATATTTTGTCTGAAAAGTAGTAACTTTTAATTTGTTTTTAGGTTGAGTCAACACCTGTTATGAAGTGTGATGGTATCTTTGTAAAACTAGGCGAAAAATTGAAAAAGAACCCTGATTTGGCCAGCTCAATACAAACTGTATATCAGTGGAATATTCTGAAAAATGGGAAGCATATTTCCACATGGAGTGAGTTAGAAATTTTTGAAAATTTTGGTTATGTATTATATATACGAGTATGTATTATATATGTGTTATATATGCAAATGCCAGCGGTTCTTTGCATTGTTATAACTTGGAGAGGCTATAGTGCATAGTTAGAAGGATGACACTTGAAGAAAGATATAGCCGTAATTTCCACATATAATTTTATTTCATGGTAACTAATTCTTGGGACAGATATTTTTGTCATTAACCCCTTAACTGCCATGGGCGTATATATACGCCTTGCTCAGCCGATGCGTTAACTGCCCCAGGCGTATATATACATCCTTCCAAACTGCTATAATTTGCTTTGCGCTGCTACACTAAAATTATTCGCAAGTTAACGCACGGTGCGCACTGGGGCAGTTAACGCATCGGCTGAGCAAGGCGTATATATACGCCCGCAGCAGTTAAGGGGTTAAACATCATCATTAAGGGTGCACTATGCACCCTCACAATTTTATTCTTACACTTTCAAAACAATAGACAATAGCTAGCAGAGGCTAAGTGACACGTCTAAGCGGCAGGAGTGAAGTAGAATAGATTAGGTTAGGTTATTTAATTACGGCAAAGCCTCGAAGGCTATCTGCCTAAGGGGAGGGATGCCTTCGTGGAGGACTTTCTAACGGAAACTGGATCGTATACACATGAAGTAGAATAGAGGGTTATGCAACAGCAAAAGTGCTAGATATGTAGTAAATTACTTCTTTAATCTGATTGGCTGAGAGCTGTAACACTGTAACTTGATAAGGGATATGAAATGTATTCATTTTCAGAGGATGGACTTTAGATTCATATCTTAGCATTTCTAAGACAGGAAGGGGATGTAGTCAAATTAAAATGAGTAATTAAAAGTTTGATATTTTTTATCTTACATATTCCGTTATCTTCAAAGAGGAAAAGGCTTAGCGATACGAAAGCCATTTTAGAAGAAAGCATTAGAACATTATCGAAACAAGAAAAATACAATAAAAGAAATTGTAACGTTTTGATCTAAGTTTTGATCTTTTTGACCTATAAATACAATATTGAAAATTTTAAAAGTTTGCAAAGAATTATTAGAAGAGTTCATAGTTCTTGAAAATTGTTTGCTTAAATATCGTGAGATAATTTTAACAGACCTTGTCTTGAAAGTCTTCTTGCAGAAACTATCATATTCAATATAAAACCAAAATTTTCTTTTGCACATCCATGAAATTCTATTAAAATTAAACAAATTAAAATACTCATTATAATAATCCACATTTTCTTATTGTAAAGCAATATAAAATGAACTATAGAGAACTAACAAAACATAATACCATAATAGAACAACTTTGATTAACATGGGCACATTCTGATGAAGTGAATCAGTGTAACTATTGTTGATGGATGTCGGATGCTAAAATACAGTAGCAATTAAAAGCTTTCATTTCTTTACAAGGTAAGTGGCTTTAGCACTGTGTGAAGATATCAGTTCCTATTCATGATTTATAGCCATGGAAATCTTTAAATTACATAACTGAAATAAAAAAAGTATATCAAAAGTATATATATATATGTAGCCACTCTGTTAGTCGGCTCCGTGAGCTCAGGTTTTTTTTATTGTTATATATTGGTAAATTGGGCATTTTTTGCTTTAAAAGTAATTGAATTATGTTGTTCTTATCTTCTGGTTAAGGTTTTTATGCCTTTAGTGAATCTGCATGCAATAGTTGTAGAATTATCAACAATTTAAAAGTTATTTAAGTGCTGCTAAGCCTATTTTTTTAATCATAGCAGCCATATTTGTTTACATTTGGAACTTAGCAGAATAGCGAATTAAGTCATTTTGTGCACCAAATTCAGTGTTTTTTTGTCAAGTGGGACCAAAAGTTAACTTTCAGTTTGTGCATTAAAAAATCTCTGTCCCTGCCCGCCAGCCGAATTTTTAAAAAAAATTGTTTTAACTGTATTTGGTGTTTTATTTTGTCCATATTTATCAATTTGTAATAAAGATATTTTGAGGTTTTGTGTATTTTTGCCTTGCTGCGAAGTGAGAACTGAGAGAAATATATCTAATGAAATTCGAAGAAATAAGTTTAAATGAAATGCAGCCCTTACCCCATGATTTTTTTCTTGTAACATTACTGTATAGTATTTACTTCTCATCTCTAGGTCTCATCTGTTTAAAAAAGAAGTTTCTTTCTTTCTTTCTTTCTTTTTTTTTTTTTTTCAAGCAAAGAATAATGTGCCAAAACTCAAGCAAACACGTCGTAGCAGCTAACATGTGCAGTCTTCTTCTAATCATCGTTTACTATACTTTTTGGAATATTTATTTTATCTGGTAATTCTTGAACTGTATAACTTGGATTTGGAGTGATAGCTTCTTAAGGTCCTTGTTTACATATGATGGTTGTTCGGAGCAAACATCATTTTTGAGCCTAAAATTTTCATGCTTAAACTTCTGATACCATCTCTGAATGTGTCATTAGAAACAGCACACTTTCCATATATAGGACAAATTTTATGAGCCATCTGATTAGCATTTTTTTAAAAATTAAAAGCATAATATGACAAAAATAAACTTTTGATTCTCCATTCTTAGCACAACATTGAAACAAAAGTTTTGGCACTTTACATGTTAGAATTATGTAACTTGAGCAGAAAATACCATATTTAAACATTTGCTTCAATCAAAGTTACTCCATGTCAGCAGTAACAAAATAATTAGATGAAAACTTGCTTTGATTTGGAAAATACAGAACTTTTGGCATGATTTTGTATTAGTGTTTCATATTCATGAATGCAAGAATCAAAATATTGAAACTTTTGTTCATTATGCTGTATTTTTTATGCAGTGTACATCCTTGCATGTTAGAATCAATGTTTACAAAAATAAATAAGGTATATTTCATTGTATTGTTACATATGGCTTTTTTTTAAAGATGAATCCAAACATAGAAAACAGCTCTAGTATCACACATGAACAATGATAAATAATAAAAAAAGAACAAATTTCATTGTGTTGTACTTTTGCATATAATGTTATATAGTCTTGAGAAGGAAAATCAAGTGGTATATAGTAGCAGTAAATGTGTGTACAAGCTAAAAGAGGCAGTGTTTACATTTCAGTGATTTTCAGCTCTTGTGTTGCAACTGTAATGCTCCTTTATCAGTGTATCACAATTTAATAGAGTGCCAACTTTTTAAGTATTTTAATAGTTGTAATGTACATCTCGTTCTTTTATCAGAAAAGAGATAAATTTTAATCTGTTTTAGCATTTTAGAAAAACTGTTTTTTTGTTAATTTGAGTGGTTTTATAGCAGCTGAATTTGTTTCATTGTTTTATATGTATTGAGATTTTATCTGGTTTTATATTTAAATTTATTTTGCTGATTTCATACATCTTTTCATTACATGATTAACTGATACAGATCAATATGCAACCTTAGTTGATTTCAGAAAGTTGTTTTAGTGTACTTTTTTATCATTTGTTCTCTTCTGTATGATTTTTAGTTTTTATAATTTTGTGTTAATATTAAGCAGAATGGACCATGTATGGTACATCGTAAACTTTTATGATATGCACCAAATGAACCAATTGTTTTCAGTTTTGGATATTGATTTTACTGCATTTGGAAATATTGTTATTTATCCAGATCTTCACATATAGTGTTCCTGGCAACTTAAAGATCTTGTGGAGAATGATTTAGGATCCCCAAATAAGTTTTCGTAATAACTACATGATGATTTCTTTAAGCTTAATTTGAAGAAAAAGGCAATGAATCAATTTTGTTCAGATTAAAAAAAAAATATGCACTACTATGCATTTCCTACAGTTTGAATCTTGAATAATGATAAATGAAATTGCTTGTTTGAATGAACAGATGACTTCAAGCATGTTTTATTCATATAATAACTAATCTTTGCAATCATTGCTAGTTTTAAAACTCATCAGGGTTAATTTTATATAGTAGAAAAGCTCTGTTCCTGTAAGTAGAAGGTTTGCGATTCTTTTCTAACTGTGCAAACTATCAAAGATAAATTTAAGATTGAAATTATTGCCCTGTGGACATGATGGTTGGAAAACTCGGCTGCTATAGCCCCAGGTTTGAATCTGAGAGAAAGCAGGGATATTTGTAAGCATGTAGTGTCTGTTCAGTATGGGTGGCACTTAAAATACTGCTGTTAAACTTAGTCTTCTCAAGAGGTTAGTGGAAGAGGGAGATGGAAGATTTTCAAATCCATTCCCTGTGTTATTATGCTTTGAAATTGGGACTGAGATGGGCATATTTTCTACTTTAAGGTGCCCAACTACTAAGCCAACAACCGGCATAGCCTTTGCCTCCTGGCCATGTTAAAATCCATGGACTTTAACTGATGTTATTGTTAAATAAGTGTGATAGTTACAACAACAAAAAAAGGGGGGATTATATTTCAACATCTGTAAAATTTAAGCATAAAAGACAATACAATTTTTTCTTAAAGATGGGGTAGCAATCAGTTCTTGCATTTTAAAATCGTTTACTATATGAAAACTAAGACCTCTCTTGATGGCCATAAATTTTGGCAGCAGAAGCAGCATGTCTTGAAACTCGCTTCTTTTGTCCAAATCACTTTTCAAATCGTTGCCACCAAATTTTATCACAATGTATTATTAAAAAAGAATGAAATAGTGAAGATTCTATATGTATGTATGAGCAAACGTCCATGTATATGTATGTTATTTGCATTTTGGATAAATGAGCCACCAAATTTTTAACACACCTAATCTTCCACCTGAATATGGGCACCTTGAAGCACTATCTAGCAAGATTTCAGATGAAAGAAGACTATCCAAACTATGCTGTGTATGTGTGTAAGAAAGAAAAATTAAGAAGGAACATGTTAATTTGTGTTCATCATATCAAGAACTTATTTCTTTTAGAAATTTTTGTTAAAATTATCAAGAATAAATATGCTTTTTTTTATACTTTTTATCATATTTTTAAAAAAACAATTTAGCTGCTAGCTAATTTTTAGT